TAGTCATCTAGGTTTTTAATTTATAATTTTCTTTTGGCTTAGCTTAGTCTATATAAGAGGCAAGAAAAAGCCGGATAGTCTTCCTGGCCTAGTGTTAACGTTTGATTTTTACAAGAATGACATCCACCTCTGATGATGGACTAAAGCTCAGCACGTTTTCACCCGAAACGAGGGAGAAAGTCCCGTAGACTGCGTCAACATGAATATCGTATAAAATCCAACCGGCTGCAGTACAACGAGTTTCATCCGTCCTTATCTGGTGAGATCGACCAAAGAATCTTCTTCATGCACTTTCATACGAAATGAAGGTCCCCCTAACAATGTTATCTCAGGAGATTAATCGAAACCATATTTATCTTCGTATCTACAATTATATCGTACGAAATCACATCAATTCACAAAATCTCATTTTCGACAGGTATTTTTCGCATTTGCTTTTTAACTCACTAGCACATGTGTCCGTTTGGTAAAATGGAATGGTAATATCACTACAATATCCACGACCTGGTCTCAAATCCAATTAGAGGTGCAACTGAGATCTAGATTGTGGTATCTTGAGGAATGCTTACTGTTCAGTCCTTAAATAATTGTTAGTGCCTAAGCTTTTATTCAAAAATCTCAGCTGAACATTTATGCTAACTAGAGCTTTAGTAAGACGTTGAGTCTAAGGGCAAAAATCTAGGTAAAAATCTTTTTTTTTGCAACTTGACCATTGCTTATTTGGAGGACAAAGATGATTACAATTCGTTTTATTTTATAACCAACTATCTGACGGAATCGTACAATCATTTAATAATAGTCACGCTCTAGCCTATATCATGCTTGGTTCCACTAGTGCCTATACTTAACATTTATATGTTTCTTTCCTAATCTATTCTTTATCAACAAGGTGAACTTCCTATACGTTGGATGTCACCCGAAGCAGTCCAGTTCGGTGTTTTCAGTGTGCAATCGGACCTCTGGTCTTACGGAATTGTGCTTTACGAGATCATTACATTTGGGGCCTTTCCTTATGGTGGACTTGGTGACGTTGAAGTCGTAGAACGCGTCAAACGCATGGAATTCAATATTACTGAATTTCTTCCACCATCCGCCTATGACACTCCCGTGTAAGCTTACCAAGAGCCTTTGTAATTAATAGCCAGTTTTAACTTAGGACTACTTTCACGTTGCGCCATTTCGTTTCGTCTTTAATGAGTCTGTATAATTATTCTTGGGTTCAAATTTTCTGTAGACGTTATTTGGAAGTTATTTGACCTTGCTTTCGCAATTTGGTCATATTGGCAGGAAGACCTAAAGGAACGCGCCTTGTCCAGAATACATAGTCAGTAGGATAATTTCCATGGATCTGATACATTCCCAGACATTTCACTGGCATCTTCAGCGAGCCTTGCCAATGTTGGCACCATACTACAAATCGTCAAAGAAAAAATTAAGTCGATCCTTTGCCCAATTGTCTGCTAAATAGTTGTGGTATCTCATCTATCCTAGATATTCACCTACCATATTTATTCGTATCACCCCTTCAATAGCGCAATTTCTTGTCTATCTAAACCTAGCTGAGACCTATTCACACTCCTTGATGGTTCCTACATCCCCCATTGTGCCGGAAGTGTTTATCCAAAGCTGTAGTTTAGTCCCCAATTCTCTCTTCAGGTCCTATCAGAGCCTGGGATCAACATTCCCGATACAGTAGTGGATGTGGGAACCAGCGAGGAGTATGACTAGGTCTCAACTAGGTTTAGATAAACAAGAAATTGCTTTATTGAAGGTGTGATATGAGGAAATAGGGTAGGTGAATATCTGCGAGACATCAAACTGTTTAGCAGAGAATTGGTCAAAGGATCGAATTCATTTGTTTCTTTGACGTGTTGTGTGGTGCCAACATTGCAAGGCTCGTTGACGATGCCGGTGAAACGTCTGGGAATGTACCAAGTCTGGGAAAAATATCCCGTATACTCTGGACTCTGGACAAGGTGCGTTCCTCTAGGTCTCCCTGCTTATATGACCAAGTTGAGAAAATAATGTCAAGCAACTTATATACAGTGAAATGACTGCGACTATACTTAAGGCCACACTATTTTGGTCTTCATACCTTTGAGTATATTTTATGTTTCGCACAATCAGGAAGGAAATAGAAGGCTGTCTTATCCATACAAATACATTTAATGTTAGGTTAATTTATATTAATAATCGTCTTGTGTAGACTACATATTAGGCTTTTAGTTAAGTTTTGCACTCGGATATAGCCGTTCGGGTTAGAGATCGAGCTATCTTGTTTCAACAGTGTTTTAGATATATTAATAACTATTGGCATAAATATGATAAGATAATTTCTTAACTGGACAATTTTCTCATAAATGTACCCACAGATGCGCCTAAACCGAGATTGTCCTTTTGGTTTACCCCTCTGTTTTTGTTTTTATCTTTTCTTGCGCACTTCAGTTGGCGCCTGATTGACCATTGCTGCCAGTACCAATGGCAACACCGGCCTGCTTCCGTACAACAAGTCATCGATGCTCTGGCCATGGTTCCCGAGTGTGTCCGACCCTTTTTGACAGATGAGCCACCAAAGCCGGAGACGAGCGATCTCAATGGTTTGCCTGTAAGTCGATGCAGGATATAGCTGTTTGTTACTTAAAATTCTTACTACTTTTTTATTTTTGTCATCCAATAAAATATTTCCTGATTCAAGACAACGATTTGCTACTGGTTGTGTGCTTATTTTGTTTTTTTGTTTTGAACTTTTATCCTCTGAAGCATAATAATATTTGATTTTCTCTGAAAATTCGATATTCCGTGATCAATGAAATGACTCTATCTATTTCCTCTTCGTTTTTTTAAAGAATTCCTTTTTTTCTAGCTTATAGGTGACACAGCCTTTACAATTTATATACTATTCCTCTGTGTAATTGTTCCCAGGCACCTATAACAATATATCTTACTAAAATTTGCTTGTCGAGTGTGCATGTTATATAATATTCTCGGCCATTCATCTAATGCAACCGGTAGTTTAATTTGAATCATAATTATCATAACCGGAATTGACCTATTTTTTCTTAAGTTCCCTGCACAATTTTGCAAGTTTCACTGAGTCTTCTTATTTTCATTAATGGTTCGTCTCATTCTCTATTACAAGCGGCTTCATTTAGATATAAAGAAACTGGTCAGACCTTTTGTGAAACTCCTAATTAGTATTTTTCTTTTATAAGTAGGCTTTCGAGACTGGCAGATATGAGACGAATTCATCCTATTTCGTTCAAGGTGATAAGGAAACATGTTGATGAATAGATCTTACGTTTCAATTGAATCTGACATGGTCTCTCTTTCCAAAAAATTATTATCATCGACCTTCCTAGGCCTTACCAACACCCCTAGCCGGACTCAAATCATTGCAATGCAATATATAATCTCGACACGTTAAACACTACGCCACATTGCCACGAGTATCCTTGGGTCACAAGGAAGATGTGAATTTCAAGAAAGGATATGCATTTCCCCATATCCCATTCTGTGGATAGTCGTCAGATTCAATAGAGACTTAAGTTTTACTCATATAATTGTGGGAAAATTCAACTACCAGTTTCCTTATCATCCTAATCGAAATAAGGTTAATTCACCTCCTTAAACACTAGCTTGCGCACAAGCTATCTAATATTCCTGGGATTGGTCTCTTTTGATATAAAGATTGTTCCAAAGATAATGATTTTTTGGCACATACCTCGTTTAAATTACTTTTTTATGATGCTTATTTAACACCCCTTTATTATGTAATTATCGTCAAAACTTCTTTTTCGAAAAGGAATGTTAATAAAGTGTTGGGATTGTGCTTATCTTAATACACTATTTAATCCATAAAATTTGATACATATATACCCAAAGTTTGCTGTAAAAGTGGGCATAGGAATTAATAAATATTTATTAAGCTGAGACAAGTGCTAGATCGAACCTCAACCGCATTTCCGGATGATTTATATGAATAATTTTGTTTTCTGTTGCATGTGGCATTCTACGATAACAATAATTAGACCTGATAATCAGCGACCAATGAGGATCATCATTTTAACATAGATTTACGCATTATTTATAAAAGTTTATCATCTCTTTATTTAATATTGCCTCTTCTTCCTCTTACATCCATGAGGATAAACTTAAAGACTATCTAGTCTTATTTTTAGTATATAAGTAGTGTTTCAAGACTACCAGTAATATGAGATGTATTCACCCTATTTCTTTTAAGGTGATATGAGTAGAGCCTTGCTTTCCCAGAATTTCTCATCCAGGCTGGAGTGGACTGCAATTCTGACCTCGTATATATTTTATCAACACTCCCATCGGGAGTCGAACCGTGACAGTGAAGCATGTGTGCTTGACACGTTAACCTCTAGGCCATATTGCCACTAGTACTCTTGGGTCCCAGGGCAGATGTGACTGGGGCTTCTGTCAAGCAAAGCTATTTGAAATTCAATGGAAACGTTAGCTCTACTCATATCATTATGGGAAAATTCTATTATCAGTCCTTCATCACCTTAAACGTATTCAAATAACTTATCTTCTTCCCTGCTTCATATAGATAAATAAACACTATTTCGCCATATCTTGTATACTCATATTGACTATCTAGATTTATTTGTTTACTCGTATATTTACCCATATATTTTCCTCTCTATCCTCTTTTCATTGATTGTGGAAGCTAGCCTTGTCTCGCCGTACTTTTATTTTATTCTTATTTTTTATATCTCAAATTAGTTTCAGCCCTGTATAGGTGGATGCACCCTGTCTGAGGAAGAGGAAGCCATCGTCAATCTTTCCCAGCGTAATTTCGGTCTTAATCTTCATCTTTCGCCTGCCAGTATTCGTCAACCGGGCAACTCGGTTGGCTCCTGTTTTCCTGGCATTGGCGAAGGTCCTGGCGTCACCTCTGCTACCGGCCCGGACATATGTGTCAATGGCCCTCCATCTAATCCTAATAGGTCTTTAGTGGACCCCACCGAAGCGGATAACGGTGACCAGGCTCAATGTCACTTGCTTGCTCTTGACGCCTATCATCAACCTTCCGTGCCACCACCTCACCATCAGCACCACGTCCACAACCATAATCATCACCAATATCAAAATCCGAACCAGTATCATCCTAAACAGCAGATACAGATGCACCAATTACAGAGTCAAACTCCCTTTCTCCATCAGTCTTACCAACACCAACCCTATCATCACCATCACCACCACCACGTACATCACCTACGCTCAATCGATGCCTTTCCTCAAGCTAGTTGGTCAGCTATTCCCTATCCAGGCGACCAGCCGGAGCACCGTCTTATTATGCCGATATCGTTCACTTCTGCAGCAGCTATTGCGAATACCAATCAGACCATATATTCACGAATTCAATGTCCACCTCCTCAACACTATTCTCTTGTCTGCGAACAGCATATTTCGGATGTAGTCAACGGGGCTGATATTGCTTCTGCTGAGAGGGGATGCGGATACGGTGTTGTTTGCAGTAATTCAGCCTCACAGACAGCACCC